AAAGTCATTCTCTAATTCAAATGACAAGTAAACGTCATCCTCCTGAATTGCTGATAGTAACTTACATTAAACTTTCCCTGTATTGTAAATTCCATTGTATAATAGCAATGTACCTGTAACCAGGCGCGCTGGGCAGAAAGATCTGCCCAGGATAATTCAAATTCATTACAACACAAAAAGCGAGCCACAGTTAGATTAGTAATATGGGAAATTAAGACCGCTTCCCCTAGAGCCTATATTTCTTCTCTTTCTTGCCATACCCCCTCTAACGTAGTATGGCGAAAGGACCGACAGATCGAAGAAAAATGTTCCGCACTCTGCCTCAGGACGCCTGATTAATAGAAATCTCACTTCTCCAGAAGTCGTAGTTGAGGAATTGGCCTGTCACTATGAGAAAAACCCCAGTTACTTTCACTACTCCCCTAGCTTCTTGAAAATGAAGAGAAAATGGAGAATGGTAGATTGGACATTTCAAGTCGCCTGGAGAAAGATTATAACGTTTCTTTCTCTATAGATGAATTTTCCTTTGCCCTCACTCGTAGGAAAAATTCTCTTCCTGGGACCGGATCAGACCAGATACACAACCAAATACTGAAACATCTATCGGAAAAAGCACGCCTTTCCCTCCGTATCTTCAACAAGTTTTGGATGGAGCATACATTCCCTAGGACTTGGCGCGAAACAATTATCATTCTATTTCCTGAAGAAGGTGAGGACAAACCCGTCAACCTACCGCGCACAAGCTGTGTTTGCAAGCATTTAGAGCGAATAGTGATCATGTGTCTGGTCTGCCTCCTGGAACAAAAAACCCACTTACACCCATCCAGTGTAGTTTCAGAAAGAACAGGTCAACCATGGATCAACTATTCACCCTTGCCATACAGATCTCCACTTCTTTCGTGCTACGTCAACACCTGGTTGCAATTTTCTTCGATAAAGAGAAAGCTTATGACACCACCTGAAGGACAGCATCCTTCGCACAATACATTCTTGGTGTCTTAGGGGCCGGCTGCCCCTTTTATAGAAGTTTTTCTTTCGTCAAGATACTTCCACGTCCGCCTTGGTGAGGGGATATCCGCCGGTCACCACTTACAAAACGAGGTCCCTCATGGATCATTCTGAGTGTCAGTCTGTGTGCCATTGCTATTATTAGTGTAGCATTAATAACCCGAGAGCCGGTGAAAGCACCTCTCTTCTTTGACGATTTTGCCATTTTGCTTGCTTTTGAATTCTGCATACACTTCTGCACGATTCATCATCTCCATAACTATCCTTATCTTTTTCTTGAGGGGTCATTAATCCCCTTCAACGAATCTGCTACTTTCCTTGGGCTTACATTCGACAAAAGCGTAATTTCGCGAAAACACATCCGTAAATTGAAGAGCAGATGTTTGTTACTTCTGAACCTCCTCCGCACCCTCACAGGTAGATCTTAGTGTGAGTTTGTGTACAACCCTCATCCACCCTATTTTGGATCATGAATTCATTGTGTATGCGTCAGTGTCTCCATCAGCCCTCCGGCCATTAAATACCATACACAATGCCGGTATACGGATCAGTACCGGACGCCTACCGCACGAGTTGCATCGAAAGCCTCTTGGCCGATGCTGGAGAACTATCTCTGAACCGAAGGCGAAATATTTTGATTCGCCTCATATGATTATCCAGTTGATAATCCCTCACGCCAAGCAGTCCTCCACTCAATACACATGACGTCGTAAGCACTTAGGCCATCTTTACCCCATCCTCTGGGAATCCGTCTCCATATGCTCTTACAGAAGCTAAATATACAATTTCCCAACCCTGTAAACCCCCATGAAACCCCGTAATAGACCTTAGATTGTCTACCCTCCCTAAATCAACTTCCCCCAGTATGTTTCTAGCGGAATTTCAGGCGATGATATCTATATATTCTACCCGTAACTTCATGTATATTGATGGTTCCTTCCAAAATGGCAAAGTAAGCCTTCTATTGTCAAAGTCACGATTAGACTCTTCGTACAGCGTCTGTACTGCAGAGAAATATGCGCTCTTGGAGGCACTAAAGTTTGCTGAATCGATGTCATTAAGGAAAGTTGTGATCTGCAGTGATTCCAAAGCCTCTCTTAAATTCATCTCTTCCTTTTCATCTAGGTACCCTCTGACAATTAACGTCGTTATATCTTAGTCTTTTGTTGTGTCCCCGGCCATGTCGGAATAATAGGAAACGAAAGTGCTGACTAGGCACTAATATCCGCCCCAAAGAAAAGAGAGTTAATATCTTTCCCCAGACCCCACGGCAGACACTAAGCTCTTTATCAAACGCTCTATTCTCAGCGAATGGCAGAACTCAAATTTTAAACTCACGACAATCAAAGATTCCATAAATCCTTGGTCTTCCTCATCTCGTGGTGTCAGGCACGAGGAGGTTATGCTAAGACCGTTGGCTAAGACGCCTTTGAATCGGTCACTGCCATTTCTCCCACGGACATCCTTCACGGGGACCCACCTCTACATGCGATTACTACAAAACAGATCTCACCGTGTCACACAAATTCAAAAAAGAGTAGTTGTCGCGTAATGTTGCGTGAAATATAAACAATTTGTATTTTTTTTTTCGATAACGCCTTAAAATTTTTGCTTTAAATTTTCTGCTCATATCTGTCAAAAGTCAAAAAAATATGTTGCTCTCATTTCCGATGAACACTCTGGATTTGCAAAAATAGTTCCTAAAATCTAACATTTCAAAACTACAAAATTGAATATAGATAGTTGCCTTCAACAAAATTCTCTCTTTAAGAACAGTCATTATCGAATCCAGGACCAAATGGATTCAGAGTAATTTTAAAGACTATTAACTTTTAACACTTTTAAACACTTGCAAGTGTACATTTCCGGCTGAGATATGGCATAAAATTTTGCAAAAAAAAATTATTTGAATAATGAAGAACTGCTATCCGCGTCATCCCTGCAAGCCTCGCTTCATTGAGCTTGGAATCTTACCACTGCCTTGCCTATATATTTACGAATTTGTAATATTTGTCAAAAGTGACTTACTTATCAGTGGGAATATATTTTCATGCAACACTGATATTTATAATTACAACACATGTAAAAATCACGTTCATAAAGTATTAGCATCAAAACCTCACTATCAGAAATCCACATACAATACATGTTAGTTACTTTACAGCGTATTGCCAGATGGCATTAAACAAGTGAAATCGGCTCACAAATTTAAGTGAAAAGTAAAATCTTTTCTGCTGCATAATTATTTCTATACAATTAGACTATACTGATTATCAAGAAGAAAAATAATGTTTATTTTAATAAAACAGTGATATATATTGAATTAGTTTACATTTGTATTGTATATTTTTTTTAAAAAATACTTGAAGTTTGTAACAAAGAATGTACTTCAGCTTCCTGGTCAATGACCCCCATCTCGTTCAGTTTCTTGTCCAGTTTCCGTGATCCATTCAGCAAATTCTGAGATGGCCCCTGTTTTGCTTCTGGACGTAAATGTAGCTCTTTTGCTTGTAATGGTAGGAGTAGAGGTAAAGGCAAGTTACTATTTTGATAGTAATGCAGAAAAATCATACTTGCAATTCGTTTACCGATGCAAATACGTTTTCTATAACTCTGGAACGAAATTTTTTTTTTTTTTCCAAATATTGCTAATCTCATGCTGTTTTAAATTTGTTTTTGTTTATTTATTTTAAACTTTTACTCATCTTTTAACTATTTATAGTTAAAATGACAGGAAAGGATTCTGGAACTCAGGAAAACGTGCTCAGATAATCTTCTCCCCCTTACGTCACATTCAACTTTTACTGTTTTTTTGTCTAAATAAATCTGAATCTATAATGAATTTTTATTTTATAAAATACACATTTTGGGTCCCCCATACCGAAAAGGTGGTGGTGTTGTTTGTTTCCTTCAAAAATGTCCATCCGTGAACACTACTAACATCTAAATCATGCATAGGATTTTATCCAAGGTGAAGAAGCCCCACTCCATCTGACCCGATTCGAAACTTTGAGATTTTGAAAAACATTTTTTAAAATTTGTGGATACTTCACATAAACCTCTAATGACATTTTCAAAATTTTCTCAAAAGCTGCTCCACATTTTTTCTTTAAATTTTCTGTAAAAATAGAGCAAAATACACTTATAAAGGAGTCATAGGTCTGATTTTCACTGTTAAATCTGAATTTTCAAAAAATTTGAAAAGTTTGAATTATTAATGTTGTTTTCCAACAACTACACAATTAAAGTAAGATTTTTCCTTAAAATGAAATTTGTTGTTCATAATCATTCTTTCAATAAGGTCAGATAAATTTTTTGAAAATTTTAGTTTTTTTCCGCAATATTTGCTATTAATTTTAACTTTTGGTAGGGATAGTGCAAAATGCACACTATATGATAACATAAACGCCATATTGCTCTATTCTTGTTTTTTTCATGAATTACAAAAATGTGTTTTTTTCACTTGTTTCTGATGTCATTATCGATTTGTTCACATGATTATCTTCATGAATACATGTGATTTAAATAATGTCATATAAAGTTTCTGGAAAATTCTACCGTTTTCTGTGAAAACTAGCTCAAAATTCCACATTTTCAGAACCGCTCACGCGTCATTTTCCTACAAATGGTTTCAAATTTTTTCTTCCCACGTTTTGAATTGATAGTGCTAATTGCACTATTTAATATGACATAAAGTTCATTTTGAGGTATTTTTTTATTTTTTAAAAATCCATCTTAAAATTACATAAATGTAATTTTTTTAGAAGATCTCTCACGCCGTCAATGTGCACATCTGCAGCAATTTGTAAACACTAGTATTTGTGAGTTAAAGTACTTCAAATTACTTCTAATTAATTTTTTCAAAAACTCAAAAATTATCTGTGAAAGGAAGATTCAAATTCCAAAATTACAGTCCAGTTTACACACAATTTTCTTAAAAAGGTCCATATTTTCAAAAGGAAGTTGCCATTTAGGACAAGATGTTCATTAATATTCTTAAAATAGTATTTCCATTCTATTAGAAAACAGGAAAATTAAGAAAATTTCAAAAAAATGTACTTTGGGCAGTGACAGATGGCAGCTGGCAAGAGTATATGGCAACTCTGAATAGATAGCAGAGGCCCAAAGGAAATTGAAAACTAATACAGGAAAGTATGTGCCATTCCATAACACCACTAATAATAAATACAGTATGTTAGAACAAATGTCTAAGTAATTAAATAAAAGTGTGAATTTCAAATTAAAGAAGAAAACTTATTTTAATGAAATCTCATTGAAAATTGGTAGGCCCTATTGTATTCGCCATGGCATTAAATTGAATAATATTCCTTTATTTTATACAAGTTTAAATGTTCTACAACTTTTAGATACTGTTGCATAAAGGTAGATTAGTGCTTTTCCCCTCTATATTGAATTTTGATTGACCTTTTGCTTCTTCTTTGTTCAAAAATTATTTAAGTGGATTTTCAGGTGTCTAAAACCAGGTGAGGATCCATGGGGAGGAAAATGAGGGAAATGTCCCCCACTAAAATTTTTCCGTAACTATTACTTTTACATTGTCACGAAACGTTCCAGCAAACATATTTTTGGAAAATCATTGAAACAAATGAAATCACATCGCTGCATGAGCCGAATGTAGCCAGTAACAGTTTACAAAATCTCTACTGATGCATTCGACCAAACATTATTAATATCCCCTCTCAAAATTTGGATCCACCCCTGTTATAATCCAAGTTATTAGTGCCAAAACATCCTACATCTAGTTATACCAGTATATTTTTGTTTTCCTGACAACCAAGCTTACGGTCAGCATTCAGAACCCTTCTGTATCGAAGGAAAATAGTAGACACAAGTTAAGTTGAATACCAATACAATTACAGTAATGAAATACGATACTTCAAGCATGGAACTCGCTCATCCCTTACAATTTGTAGGTTTGTGATATCTCTTCTAATTTAAGGAACTAAAATAAAAACAAGTAGCATCTTTAGGGCATAATCTTGGCAATACAGTTCAACGCTTTGTTATAAATGGTTTTTAATGCATCAAAATTGTTTTTTTTCTTTTTATGGCTTTGTTTATAATATATATTTGTATACCACTACTAATTGTATCTTTTTGTATATTCGCTTTCTTGAGGTTTTGTGTAGTAGTTATATTTTAATGAAGATTTACCAATCTATCACATATTACCTCTAAATATAAAAGTATTACCAATGTAGGTATAAAAATAAAAATAAAAAAGAAACAAATTTTCAGCAGTTTTTTGAACATAAAAATACATAACATGTAATAAAAATTAGCCAATAAAATGTCCTTACATGCCATACTTTAACAGCTTAGTTGCTTGGAAATGATTCATTGTAGTGAAAATTTCTTCTTGTAGTTTCAAAAGTTCATTGGTGATTTATTCACAACATATAAACATTCTCCCCCTATATTATCTGTATGGAAGTTGACAAATATAAGTGAAAGGTTTTGAAAAGGCACACAAATTTATACAATCATAATACTGATTAGAACTGATATTGATGCAGAAACATTTGGACACCCAATTCAACAATGGAAAACAAATATTTTTTTCCCCAATTTACTTGGTCCAGTACATCATTCTTTTTGACACATAGTTCAAATAGCATATTCATTTCACATCTTGACAATCGCACTACATCAATTAGATTTCACTGCAATTAAAAATAAAATTTAACTAAATTTCTCAATTCATAGTAGTGTATCTATGTAATTTAAATGGATTTTAGGGCAAACATTTTAAAACATACTCAATTCTGCCAATTTCGTACATTTTCTTGAGCCTTCTCTAATGCTGTGAGCAATAGTTTAAGTTCATCTTTATTTAACTCAAGACTCACATTCTTCCCACCAACTCCATCTTCATGAAGCATAAAATCAAGTAGTAGCAAAGGTTCTCGTACAGATGATAAGGCACTGCTTCCCATCACCCACTGGAAAATATTATTCAAATTACATCACATAACAGTCAGTTTTGAATGCTTATATGCATTTCACCAACCTTTAGTTTCCAATCAAAATCTTGCAACTTTGGTCCTGACACAGCAAATGACTTGCATAACAACAAATTTTCAACGTCAATCTTGCGAACGACAACACAATCAAGTACACACTGCACATGATCTGATGATAAGCCAGGGCATTGCTTCAAGATCTGTGAAATAAAATATTTCAAGAGACTTTGTTTAACCTCAAAATCTAAATACGTGCACATACAAACCTGTTCAGATGAAGGATTTTTCAAGATTTCATGAATTGAAGTTTTGAAGTACGTGTGAAGGATATCATATTCATCATTACTCCAATTAGTGCAAGATTTGAAGTTATCATAATGATACTGTCTTTTCCTCTCACATATGTCATCCACACATGAATGTAGGAGCTGCAAAGAAATTGTTTTTATTCATGATTGTTTTGATGTATGTTTTTATACATTTTTCATGATATTTAGCAGAAACTAAAGATTTACCTCCAGCAATATCTGGTTGCTGACATCCTGAAGGAGTAGTTGAATCTTCTCCATTTAAAATAGATTGTTGTAGTTCCTATAACAAACACTTTGTACTGACTAATAATGACAGTAACATCCTGATGAAATCAAATGACACCCAGCTGATCCCCGGTATCGAAGAGGCACCGTAGTACAACACGATTTATTTAGTCATGCACTTGAGACGTAAATAAGCTGTAGCAGTTTCATCCAATCGAGAGCTTATATGTCGCTACAGTGACGTAACAATGGAGACGTTCGTTCAAGCTCGCGATTGGATTAAATCGTACACACCTGGTATACGTTAAGTACATGGTTAAATAAATTCTAATTTAGTAGTGGTAGCGCTGCAATAATCACCAAAACGTCGAAAAAGAATATTATTATTTAAAATATTAGAGGATGCAAGAAAATTAAAGAAATACGAAAAATATTATTAATTGCATATGGTAATATTTATATTATCCAGTAAACACGTACATTTGTAATATATAAAAATATGTTTAACAACTATTAATATAATAATATACATAGGCCCTATATATACACTTTATGGGATTTTTGTTTTAAGGAGTTTCAGACTGTGTACGAGTTACGAAACACAAGAGGTATCTTTGTTTCACTCATTGTAATAATTGAAAAAGAGATAATAGCACTCTTTGTGAAAACTTTTCTTCAACCGAAATGGTTTCCATTTCTTGTTTACTGCTGTGATTCGTTCCGTTTCATCAAAGTGTTGCCTTCTTTTACCAATATTTGGTTGTTACCAATAGCCGCCCAATTTTAAACGAGGAAATTTATTCAAATGATCTCACACCCCTATAAGTGTTTTTATTAGGTTTGGTCATATTAGAAGAAATATACCTCCAATAATCGTTGGGAACTATTTTTGTTTTGTGATTTTGTGATATACAGATTTTTTAAAATGAAAATTTAAAAATATTATCGAACCTCCCATCAACAAAACCCGCATTTCTAAAACATTTACTAAAGACAAAAAAAGTCAAGTTTAGGGGAGAAAAGACCTAACCTGGCAACATTGCATAGCCTTACTTATCTAATAGCGTTGTCGCCACTAAAGTTTTAAAAAAACGACACTAATTTTTACCTTATCACAACGGCGGGAAGGTGGGCAGTTACGCAGTTCGAATGTGGTGAGTAAAGTACTAAGAGAACAATAATATATCTTTACAAAATAACCACTGATTTCTGTATGCTATTGGAACGACAACAGCGCACGCGAACAAATCCACCCCATGGGCATCACAATTTACTTAGTTTGGGGGCAAAAGAGTTGATCGATTTGTACATACCATTTTAAATTTGACTGATGTCCATTTTTATTTTCCCTAAAAAATGTTTATGCAGTTTTTGTAATTAAAACAATGAAAATGTGAAATTGCTTTATACTAAGATGTAAATTCACTTAATGGTAAAATGTATGGTTTAAGTTAATGCATTTCCAAATTTCTAACTGTTTCTAAACTTATGAATAACTAACGTAAAAATATTGTGACGATTCCCTTATTCTCTCAACTTATTTTTTCTCATAATTTAATTATTTATTTGGATAGCTCGATTTTATTGAAATGATTGGGCGTTACTATTCTTACACTTCCAGGGCTGCATTTACTGTTTTTGTGGGCTGAAAATTGACAGCTCTTACGAGACTGCGGCTAGTGAATACCTTCATTTATGAGAGGAATTAATTGATCTGATGGTTACTATTCTTTAAATGGTAACAACTTCATTAATGATTCCACATTACAGCGACAAGAAGTGTAGGTTGCCAATCATTCTTTTATTTCTGAATTTTCTTTCTTTTCTAATTCAACATGAACAAATTTAATCTTATTTTACTATTTGCCTCCCACCTAAGATGACCATAGTAAATTGTATTGAAATTTATTTTGATAACTTGTTTCATTTAATTTAATTACTATTGACATTCTTGGCTTTGAACATTGAATATTTTCTTCAAAGTCTTTATGACAATTCCTAAGTGCCACACTTCACTGTTCGTAGACGAACTTTTCTCTTGGCAGTGCGACGAGAAGAATTCCATTCCCGATCATCCACTCAAGTTTCAATAGAAATGTTTTTCAATAGAAATGTTGTCATCCTTCCACAATTTCCTGCGATATTCCACACTTATGTTTTTTATCACAACATATTATAAAATGTCCGCATTTTACTCGACTTAATTTGTTGACATCAGTTCAAACATCCCGCGACCTAATATTGGCGTTTACTACAACACGTTCTGACTTTTTTTTACAGACTGAAAAGTTCATGCCCGCGGCATTCATCTGTCTCCGATCAAGTAACACTGCTTTCCATGTCTGTGTCTCCCAATATCTGATCTATAACTTCTCCTCTAAGCGTCCTCTTGTTAGCAAAATTCTCTATTTAAAGGACACTTATAAAAGACTGACTTTTACGTTCAAATCCCTGATATTTCGAAAATTGCAAAAGTTCAACATTTATTCAGTGTCTTCCTACAACTACAATATTGATGATAGACTTTTTTCCTTAATGAAATCTCTTGTTAAATGAGAGATTTGAAATAAGATCATTTATATTTTTTCGATAATATGAGTAGTTTTCACGTAATGTTGCGTGAAGTAGAGGTTATTTGTAAACAATGAATGTTAAAAAAAAAATTGTTAGTCCCATTTTTGGTAAATTCACTGAATTTTCGAAAATTGCAAAAATTTAACATTGAAAAGTACGATATGATTATAAAGATTTTTCTTAAATGGTGTTCTAAAAAATAAACCTTTAAAAATATTATGTACACTTTTTTCGAAAAAAAACCAGTAATTTTCGCGTAATTTCTGCTCGAAATTAATGCAATTTATAATTTATTTCTCAAAAACGGCTTCACATTTTTTCTTTAAAATTTGTAGATGGATAGGGCAAAGAAAAACTGGCTTTAGGATGATTTTCTATAATCTCTTTGAAGTTTCGAAAATCGCAAAAGATAGTGCGAGAAAATATGTGATTTTGTAGCTCCATTAGTGGCCCACAAAGAGCCACATTACGTGGATTCTGATACACAGACCACAGGAAATAATTTACTTCAAATTGGAGCAAGATTTTTCCACTTTTTCATCAGCAGGTCTCCACGATGGGTTTTTTTTCTGTCAAAAAATTGCAATTTTGCCCCACCAGTACACTACTTTTTCTATTATATGTACATAAGAAGCAAGAAAGCGAGCCAGATAACCAGAGGGAAAAGTAGCGACCAAGTAAGCGGGAAAGTAAAAACCAAGGTACAAATAATCCGCAGCATACCGATTTTAAGAATAAACCGAAATAATAAATACTCAGCGTTTTGTATTTTATGGACGGATTTAACCAGCTGACTTTGGACAACACCTACTGGCGTCGTTTGCCTTCCGTCTTGTTCTCTTATGTACGATGCCTACCGTCCTCGTCTGCTTCTTTCTTGCTCGTCTCGTTCACGTCCGCTTGGGAATGTTCCTTGCAAGACGCAAATGATAAAAAAATATGTACATTTGCTTAGTTGAGGCGTACGGGTAGCTCTCAATTGCACGGCTCTAATTAATACATGTGACTGAAGGTAACTATTTCTTCACGTCACAAGTATACTGTCATATTTCGTTGCCTACTGAATCTCTTTGAATAATTTGAAACTGTACTAATTTCTCACGTCTTCGTCTGACGAAAACCTCCATTTTGTCTACAGATGAATTAACTTCTTCACAAATTTCTAACTACACGTCTTTCTGACATTCAACACTCCTTAATCTCACTGGCTACTCAATTACTACATCGCTACACGACGACAATTCTATGTAGATGTTCTTGCGTGGACGGCGTTCGGAATAAGAAGAAGGAATTGTCAGCCGTTCGCCGTTTTTATGCGGCCGCCCTCCGCGTAGTGGTTGAGGCGCGTCATATGCCCTCCCCAGTTTGACCATGTATACGTCACCTCGTCTGCGCCGCATCGCGGACTTGGCTTGCAACTGCACTAAAGGCAGCGGATACTAGGCCGCGCCTTTTTACGGTCACAAAAAAATCAGTCATATTTTCTAACGCAAACTCTCTTTTTTGTTTGATGTCAAAACAATTGTAAATGAAATTTCGTGCACGAAGGACACTGCAACCCGTGTCTACTTGGGGGCCGTCCATTAATTACGTAATGCTAAAGAGGGGAGGGGGTTGAGGCAGCGTTACGCTGCGTTACATAGGAGAAGAGGGGTATTCCATTAGAGTTATGTATCATTGAAATTTGTTTACATGTTTAATCATTTGTTGAAATACTTTCTTTGTTGACACACTAAAACATGAAAATATTATCTAATTAATTTGATTTAAAACAAAATTATTTTAAGTTATTAGAAGTTGTTATTGAATGAATGAAATAAATAATTTTTTTACTGAACTATAATTCATTTTATTTATTGCATTTACATTGGGGGTTGTCGCAAGCGTTATGGTGAATCGCGCGTTATCAGCCGTCAACCGAGCCTGAAGGGAGCTGATTATCTAAGTGCTGGTAATTACTAGCTGTTTTAATTGTAAGCTCATTTTCAAAGTCAACATGTCGGTGGAATTACAGAGTTCTAATAGGAGATGTGAAAAATGAAATAATAGGTTCAAAACTTCCCTTAAAAAAACTGACTAATAAAAGGGCACGCCTAGGAATAGTTGAGAGGAATTTGTTGAATATAGCTGCCCGATAAATTTTTCTCCCCGCCAACTACTTTGACACAATGTTATGAACCGTTAAAATCGATTCGTCTTCTAATTTTAATGAAAATATGGATTTGCCAGATTTTCCAAAGCTGAACGAGAACTCAGGACCTGGACAACATCCAACATCCAAGTTTCATTACTCGAAAATTAGTAGCAGCGCTTAATAAGTGTCATCTAAGTACGAGAGCTCCCATGTATATTTTGGAAGCTATAATTGAGGCAGTTGGACATAATGAGAATGTTCAATGAAGAAGTACTCTATCAAAGAATTCGTACGAATAAACGGAAAAAGCGTGCGGGAGCCATAAAAGTTGATTTTCAAAATGAGTTACCAGACATTCTGACTCTTTACTGGGATGGAAAACTTGTTGCCTGCTTTAGATGCTCGGAAATCAAAAGAAGGTCTTCCAAAAGCTATTTCATACGGAAATAAAGAACAACTTTTTGCTGTCCCAAGGTTGGAAAGCTCTTCAGGAAGCGAATATGCGCAAATTCTCGGCTATCCGGGAGACGCCGCGTCGTTGGCTGGGGTGC